ATCAGAGCCGAACAGAGAGGAAAACCCTGGTGAGTGTGTGTGTACAGGAACTGGTGGAAGCCTTATAACCCTGGCTAATATAGCAGTAAAATCTTATGGTGTCCTTACCCAGAATTAGCTGATAATAAGTTACAACTATTCACATATATTCACTTTGCAAGAAATTAGATGGTTTAATCTTACAAGCATTGCCAAGGTCATCACAAGGAACAGAGAAGAGGGGGACTTTCACCTGCACTAAAGAAGCTTATGTTTTACTTGCAAATTCTGGCAGAATTTGCATTGACATGCTGCCATTGCTCCTTTGGTAACTTTGCATGGTACCAGCATAACTCACATCTTAAGTTGCTAAAAAGGATGCTTCACTTGAGGTCTGCATTTGCAAAACGGAAAAATAATATAAAGTAGTCTTTTAAAGGCACTTTAAATAAAAATGACATTTTAAACCAATGTCTTATATAACAGTACAGCTATATAAATTTTAAGGACCTGGTGGACATTGTCGAGTTCTAGAACAAGTTGTTTCATTACAACCTGAAAGGGATTGTAATACCCCATGTATCGTAATTTTACTATCCAACTGAGGTGATGGTAAAATGAGTGAAAGCTTAACCTTTTTAGGTTTAAATATAGCATTAAAATATATATTACTAATTTTTGCTGTTTTCCGTTGCATTTTCCTTTAATGTTCACTTCCTCTAAATGTTTCAACTAGGAGTGTCAGTTTCATCAGAGATGTCCATATAACATATGGTGAATTGTAGGCCCATCAAATTCAGATAAGCTAAATTTGATTTTGAAATCATATATAAAGTTCAGGTTTGTTCTAACAAAATGTAGACGGATGCTCAAGAGCAACACGATGAGTTCAAAGATATAAGTCCCTCAGGTAAATTATAGAGTTACATGCTAGGAGACATGGAAAATTAACTGACGACCCAATAAATACTGGTTCAGACTCTCAGTAGAAGGAAAAACAAGGAAAATGGTAGAACAAATGGGGAGACACAGGTGCAGTGAGTTAACTTATTAACAGAAGGCTCTAGCTAAGTTAGAAATTATCTTACTGTAANCAAGGAAAATGGTAGAACAAATGGGGAGACACAGGTGCAGTGAGTTAACTTATTAACAGAAGGCTCTAGCTAAGTTAGAAATTATCTTACTGTAATGAAAACGGGGACAGATGGACTGATTATTCAAGGTGAGACAAGTTCAAAAAACTTTATGAAAACAAAACATAAACATAGAAGTGTGGAGCTGAGGACCTGCGGACTATGGCAGGTAATCAGAAACACTAAGGAAATGATGAAACGCTCTCACCACTGGCTAGTAATTATTCTCCTGACTGCATGGGGGATATTAACCTTGGAATAAACTAAAACTAACGAAATAAACAAACAAACATCAAACATAAATAACCACTTCAGATGAGTCTACAGCCTGGCCGATATTTATTATTTCAGAAACTTCCAGCGATGAGGGGGATTTTAGAAGTAAACTATATGCTATTTTGCATGCAGAAGGTAAGACTGTTGATGATGTGCAGGCTCTTCTAGCTGAACCAGAACCAGTTCCCTTATCCACCGAGTCTCTCAATCGTGCTGTAATTGATCTACTGGATAAAGCAACAAAACCTGCAGAAAATAGAGGATATCGATGTCTGCGTGTCTTCTCAGGCATCACGCCTACTCCTGTAGGTGAGGAACAATTTGATCACTGGTTAGAGCAGGCTTACATGATGGTGGAAGTGAGTGAATGCTCCTCAAAAGAAAAAAGATGGAGGATAATGGAAAGTTTAAAGGGTACTGCTTTAGAAATTATAAAAGCTGTTTCTCTTTCTGATCTTGATGTCACCCCTGAAAAGTGCTGACAACAATGACAACAAGCAACAGGGAAGTGTGACAAAGTGAATGCCCTAATTACCTGCTCCAGCATCACCAGACAGTGATTCAAAAGAAAATTAAGCCTAAAAAAATATATTTTCCACACAATGGACTCTGACTGTGCAAGGCAGACAGGCAGCCCTGGACCATCAGAGCCGAACAGAGAGGAAAACCCT